AACCAGGACAACTGCTCTGACATTAAGGGAAGGCATTGCATAGAGTATAGTTTGATTAGTCCCCAACTAAAGGCAGCCAGGCTGTCATTCACACTCTTTGGTCATCATGCTCAGCAATGAAGGTGAGAACAGTCAGCCAAGTAGAACACGCTGGCCACCAAGGAAAGGAGGTCCCACAAACAGGCCAAATAACCCCACTGCCACTGCTCTTCTGAAACATTATCTGTGTGCTCCTCACCATTAGAGACCATCAAGATCTGGCCTTACAGTTCAAGTGCTAAGGTGATGATTCAAACTCTTCTTACTTGAGAAAGGAATCAATGAGGATTTCTCCAGACTCCTCTTGGGCAGACAGAACTGGTCCCATGCAATAAAAAATAAGCAGCAGAAAAGGTCATCATGATACTTGTGCAACAATAATAGAGCAAAGCAACATGGAAAAAAAAAGGAATGAATGAAACAAAAGGCAAATAAACATACTATGGAATGAGAATGATTTCAGAAACCCCAACAATGTAGACAACAAAAGTCAGCCTCCAAGGTAACAAAAGAAGGAGCCAACGAGGGCAATATGATGAGAGAAAAAAGCTGGCAGAGCTAAGAGAAAAAAATAAACTCGGGGCAGAAGTGAAAGCCACACAGCAAGCATCAACACTACAGAAAGCAGAGTCAGTGAGATGGAAGGTTGGGAGCAAAGAAAGAAATCCCACCGTAGGAAAAAAGACAAGAAGATGACAGTGATGGAAAGAGAGATACACTGAGTGGCCAGATTATTATGACCACCTCAAGTTTGTAGGCAAATTATCCGTACACTACATTGTATGGGATATGGAAGCCGAAGGCCTGTTCTGTCTACGGTTACCAAGATAAAATGTCTCCAATTCGCACAGGAACACAAGGATTGGACAGTTAAGCAATGGAAAAAAGGCATGTGGTCCAATGAATCACATTTCCAGTTGCATCATGCAGATGGCAGAGTGAGAATTTCGCGGAAACGGCATGAAATCATGCACCCCACATGCATGAGTACAACCCTTCAAGCTGGTGAGGGCAGTGTTATGGTTTGGGGCATGTTTTCCTGGCATGATTTGGCCCTTTAATTCATGTGGAACAACGTCTGAATAGCACAACATATTATACCTAAGTATCATTGCTGATCAACTTCATCCTATCATGTTGATGGGAGTATCTCAATGGATATGGCTTCTTCCAACAAGACAATGGGCCATGCCACGGTGCTCATATTGTGCAGGAGTGGTTTTAAGAACACGAGGGAGACTTTACCTTGCTTAGGTGGCCCCCACAATCACCAGATCTCAATCCAATTGAGCATTTGTGGGACGAAGTTAAAAGCCATCAGGCAACTGGTTCCACCACCATCCAGTCTCACAGAACTGAACAGTGCTGTTCATCAGGCATGGTGTCAGATTCCTCCCATCACCTTTCACCATCTCATGGAGCCAATAACTAGAAGAATCGCCATTACTAAAGGCAAAAGGTGGCCCAACGAAGTGCCGATGGGGTGGTCATAATAATCTGGCCACTCTATAAATGTGAAGGACCGATAACAGAGAGCCAATACTGCTACAAACTTGAAGAGAACAAATAAACCAGTAAGAAATAGTCAAACCTGGCCGGCGTGGCTCAATTGTTGAGCATTGACTCATGAACCAGGAGGTCAAAGTTTGATTCTTGGTCAAGGCACATACGCGAGTTGCAGGCTCAATCCCCAGTAGGGGGCGTGCAGGAGGCAGCCGATCAATGATTCTTTCTCATCATTGATGTTTCTAACTCTCTCCTTCTCTTTTCCTCTCTGAAATCAATAAAAACATATATTTTTTTAAAAAGACAGGCCCAAATGTCAATATCTAATGCTCATTAAGAACCAGAAAAAGCCAACAGTTGACTGTCAACTCTGAGACATACTTGAATGAAGTTACTGAATTCGAGGATAAACAAGAAATCACAAATACCCCCCGACAAATAAGCAGGTCATCTAGCAAGGGGATGAAAGATCTAGTCTCGGCTCAGTACCAGCAGGCACTGGAAGACAATAAAGTGAGGTGCCCCAAGAATCGAGGGACAAAGGATGTGACCCAAGAACCTGAGAGGCAGCTAAGTTACTGAACATTAGGAACTGTAACATTTGTAAATACGCAAGAAAATCTAAATGAAGCTGCAACCAGTTCTCCAAAAGATAAAACCATCAACTCTCAAATGAGAAGTCTTTGTATGAAGGGCTGGCAGTGAGCACTGAGTTCATGCAAACACAAAACTAAATCTAAATAACTGGCAATTACCAACTGCCTTGCACTTTTAAGTTGCCTGTCTTCCTCGGTGGTGAAAGTTGCCAAATTATTCGACTGGCTGCTCTAACTAACCATGCCAAAATGAAAACACACAAAAGAAAAAAAAAAACCTTTCCTGAATGGAATTCTCTTGCACTATAGAAAAATTGGGTTGTATCTTCGCCCCACACTCCAAAAAAGAGAATGCTAACTACCTGGTGCATTGTTGAGTGTATAGGTCTAGAAATAAGAAGACCCATTATTCTCTTTGGTTTTTTCCATTCACTTACCATGCCAGCTTGGCAAACACTGCACTGCTTTGGGACTCATGAAAAACAGAGATAATGCCTGCATGGTCCACCCCCTGGCACGGTGAGGGATGCTGTATGTGAAAGTTCTTTGGAATCTAAGAAAGTTCTTTGGAAGCAAGGCCATAAAGCCATGCGCCATTTGGTTGGATAGAAAGAACCCACTGTATCAAGGAGTCAAAATGAATACTTAAAGATAAAGAAAGGACCAGAAACCTTCTGTGGATCTATCTCTACTTCTTTTCTTTCATCTCCCTACATTTCCAGGTCACTGCTTAGCACTGTGAATAGGAAATTCAATACCCCCACAGCTCCTGAATGGAATGACTTTTAATTTGGAACCAAAAGCTAGTTTTAAGAATTTAAAGACGTTGCTCTCCACCCAAGGTTCATGTCTCTCAATTTGCAATCCTTCATTCCACTAATATTTACTTAGCACCTACTATGTGCCTGGCGCTATTCCAAATAGCAGACACAGTCTCTAAATACTTAAATAAAATCAAGTCAATGAAAGGCAAAAAGAGGAATTGGGGGAACTAAATGAATTTCATGGGAAAGGGGTCAATGCCTATATATATTACAACTTATACACAGATATCTGACCATTTGCTCAGGGACAAACCCAGCAAACAGCCAACAGGATGCAGCCAAGTTCAAAGAATCATGCATAGCCAACAAAAGCAATAAATGAATATTGGGTCTCTGAACTGTGTGAATGTTCCTGAAACGCTGCTCAAGGTTACTTTGGGAGCAGGGTTCAATTCTTAATGCAGAAAACAAACAGGAGGCAAGACTGTACTTGGGTCAGACTAGAGAGCTTATTAGTAACGGACTACCAATGAACTCACTAAAACATTGGAAAAAAATCTTTTCTTTTGGAAAAGATCTGTAAAGGGAGGAATGTGATAGGATTTTCCCATACTCTACTTTCCATCTTCAACCTTTACATGAATCTTGCTGTGAGGGCATAACAATCAATGGCCATTCCTGAAGCACAGTGGAACAGAACAAGGCAGGAGTATGTTAGAAAAGGTAGCCTAGGAAGATACTCATATAGTAGCTAACATTTATAAGGAAGCCAGGGTTTTTAAATGAAAAGAACCACTATTTTTACATTTTTTACACAAGGAAATAATCCCGTGGAAAAGCCCTGTCCCCAAGACACTGACTCAGCCTCCATAAAGACCATCTTGTCATTTCTGTTTTGGATGTTCAGTGGCCTTTCTTTTATCTGTTTATGACTTCTCTGATGAGATCCTCTAAGGATGGAAGAAATAAGCAAGTTCTTTCTAAAGATGACGGGAACTAGCGCATAATGAAATGAAACAAACACACCCCATGGAGCTATGTAAGTGGCGGGTTGTAATCCGGACTCTCCAATAGCTTCCATTTCTATGGGGCAATAATAACGGGTCCTTTTTCCTCTCCTTAAGTCCTCTGCCAATTCCAACACTCAGCCAAACGCAAACGATTACGAAAATCAGATCGGCAATTCTAAAACTGGCTAAAATTCATGAAATTTATGAAGATGCAGGGCCATTTTCCAAAATAAAGAACTTTACCCTTCGATAGTCTTTTTTACAATCAGTGAAGTACATCACACAAGGACTTCCAATTCCTTAGAAAACAACAAAGGAGTATCATATGACAAAGGTACAGTATTAGATTAGCAGAAAGTTTACGTAAGCATAAAAGCTCCACTTCCCACTCTTTACAAACTTGACAGGACCAGAGGGTAGTTTTTCACTTAAGATCTTTGAAACCAAGCAGTTAAGTGAAAAATTCCAAGACAACTCTGGAACTGTTTCATGGGCATAATAGAAGCAGATACGTGGATTTTAAAATAAAACCAATGCATCAAAGACTAAACGTGTAAGTCCACACACCTCACAATGAGAATACGAAGAGGGCAGAAGGCAAAACTCTCAATCAGAGAGCGAGGAGGGATGCATTTGAGAAGGAAGGGCCCTGGGACTGAATTATCGCTCAGCTGATATCTTCAATTCCAGATTCCCCAGGCCTTAATGGTTTGGGACAAACACGGTATTTGATCACAAAGTACAACAGTAGAGATCTGTATCTGGGGTGGGAAGGGAGCTTAGAACCCTGGGAACACTGTAGACACTTGACTATGACAACGAGGAGAGAGGTATGAGAACACGAGAGCGCTCATGAGGCTTTGTGCTCTCTTATGACAGGCACCAACCAAATCACAACATACTATAAAGGTACTCAATTTACTACTTTAGTTGGAAGATCTGAAGTAGCTACATGAAAGTTTCTCTGGGAAAGGTCCGGCACTGGAATAACTATGGTGTCACGGTCAGAGTTGATAGAGGAAAGGAGCTCAGAGGTTCACTTGCAGAAGATGATCTTTCTTCAGAGAGAGGACCAGAGCAGTTGTCTAGAAAGTTCTATTAGTCTTGATCTTGTCTCTACAAAGAAAATAATGGGAATATCCATAGTGAGTTTATGAGTATAACCTTCTCTATTTTAACCAAGACGTACTCAGTGTTTAATTAGAGTGATAATTCAAAAGCCTTTGCCTTATCTCAGAATTATTCTCTATGGTTCCTACAGAAAAAGAATTACTGTTGAATTACTTACATATACTTTACTCTGTTAAAAACCTGATTAGAAATGAGGGTACAGGGTTTCTTTTGGGGGAGATGAAAATTTTCTAAAATTAGGGAGTGGTGAGAGTCACACAACTCTGTGAATATTGGATGCTTTAAACGGGTGAATTTTATGGTATATGGATTATATCAATAAAACTGTTAAAAACCTGATTAGAGAGTAAGTTTTCCTAGACTTTCTCATTCACTTAGTGAATACTTCCCCAAGATTATCCTATTTGTATAATTTAACAATTTTAATTGTCAGGCTAACCATTTTAGAATTTTAAAAATTGTCTTTTGCTAAAAGGTTTGTCTAACATTATATTAGAAATTATAGTGTTGAACAATGTTGTTTACCAATTAAGCCCATCTTAATTAGTATACACCTAAACTGTTTAGCTTTAAAACTTCCTTTAAAACAATATTCAATTAAAGCCATCTTTTTACAATTCAAATGGATGTTATTTTAAAAGACTGCTTCTGTACTCCTCAACAACTCCCCCATCAGAGCAATAGTTTGAAATAACTGGTCACATTGATGCCCAACACACTACCTGGCTTACATACGGACTGAGACTGGAATCAAATGAAATTGATCCAGGTGTATTAAGGTGATGCAGCTTAATCTTGGCCAGGGATGGTGGTGGTGGTGGTGGTGGTGGTGGTGGTGGTGTGTGTGTGTGTACACATATGCATAACCACATGCGTGCTTGCACTCACATGCACAAACCAAACTCCTCTAAATTTTATCATTTGAGGTAAGTGACCAGTCCCACAATATTGTTCAGAGGTCCATCACTAGACTTCCATAGGAAAAAAACACACACACTACATCAGTGTAGATATGTCCTTTATCAAAAAGACCAATGCTATGATAATGGTATAAAATGACAAAGCTATACAAACTATATTTGCAGACAAATAGCTTTCTGTTGCATTATGTTAAAGTAAGGTTTTCAGGGTAAGAAGAGATACATGAAATTCAAATATAACGAGGCCCGATGCACAAAATTTGTGCAAATGTAGGCCTTCCTTCCCCCAGCTGCCAACACTGGCTTCCCTCTGGCACCTGGGACCCAGCTTCCCTTGCAGCCCCAGCTTCGTCCGGAAGAAAGTACGGAAGGACATCTGGTCTAATTAGCATATTATGCTTTTATTATTATAGAAGACAGAAGAAGATAGGGAGAAACATTGCAATGTTAAATTTGAATAAAAAATATCAATATGATCAGTCATTTTTAAATGTCCAGTTCAGTAGTGTTGAGTGCATTCACATTGTTGTGCAACTGACCTCCAGAACTTTCTCATCTTCCCCAACTGAAGCGCTCTCTCCATACTAATTTCCATCTCTATGACTTTGACTACATTAGGTACCTCATATAAGTGGAATGATATGGTATTTGTCCTTTTGGGTCTGGCTTATTGTACTTAGTGTCATGATTTCAGGTTCATCCATATTGTAGCATGTGCTAGAACCCCATTCATTTTAAAGGGTGAATAATAATATTCCATTGTGTGGATATACCACATTTTGTTAATCTTGATTAATAATTTTAACTTCTTGATTTTTTTTTCAGTTTGAACCCACAGAATTTCTCTTTTTTTTTCTATCAAGCCCGGTGGATGATGATAAACTGCCAACTCAATTTCTTTTCAAATATAATTCATGGCATGATAAACTCTGCTCACTGCTATTAAGATCTCCACAGTGCAAAGACTCCTGGGAGAGCAGGGTCTCCATTTGAATGGCTATTTTGATTACCCAATTCTTATTCTCTTTCCTATCTGGGGTGAGAAAGCTGTTTCAATATTTTTAAAGGATAACTTTGGTTTCCCCCCTCCCCCATATGTGTTTATTTATTTTAGAGATAGAAAGGGAAAGGGAGAGAGAAAAACACTGATCAGCTGCCTCCTGAACGCCCCCTAGTGGAGACCAAGCCAGAAACCAGGGAATGTACTACTCTGGGAATGGAACCAGGGACCTCTTGGTGCATGGGAGGATGCCCAACCGAGCCACACTGGCCAGGGATCACTTTGCTTTTCCAGTGATAAAACCACAAAGAAGATTTGTCTGAAAGTAACAATTGCCTGACTGGCATGCTGTGGGGAAAATCAGATACTCTAGGATAGAAAGCGAAGTAATTTATTACTGTTTTGCCTTGTATTTAGAAGCATCTCTGGGCTCTCTGCTGGGATTGCTCCAATCATCGGCTTCAGGTGTGGTCTTGTAATGGCGCCATGCTGACTTATTAAATACTGGAAGTCTCTCGAATGATTCACTTGAAAGAGCCTAATGGAAAAAAATATATACACCAAAGGGCCATAGTGCCATTTGTCACACATGAAATACGAATTCAATTTTTATATTTAAAACATTAGAAACCCTAATATATACTTTTTGAATGATATTAAAGCTTTACTATTTTAGTAGATCACTTAGACTGGGAAGATGAAAATGAAAGCTTTTTTAAAGGAATAAAAATATTCCCTCATTCTAAGCCAGTACTGACATTCACAGGACCAGAACAAGAAGCATTTGAATACAGGTAGTACTGCATTGAGATACTTTGGACTAGACGGTCTTAGACCAAGCACTCCTGTTCACTGGGCAACCATTCTCCCAGAATGGTTGGACTCAGAAATAAAGTTCTATACATACTAGATTTACCATAAAGTGTTATCAAATATCACACATTCCAATACAGTACTTAGATAAACACTCTAAGTACTGGTGAAGTTACAGTATAATATATTACATGTATGTTATATTTTATAACATATAGCACACTATATGGCCATTTAAAAAGGAGCCAATTCTACATGAACTGATAAGAAAAGATCTCCAATATATACTAGAAAGTAAAAAATATATACAGCAAATAAATCATTTGTGTGAAAAAAATTTAAATTTTTCTAGAACAATCCACAAGAAACTGGTACTTTTGGTTACTGATGGGAACAGAACAGGGTGATTTTGGGCCAGTGATGGGAGAGACTTAGTTCTCTCTCTTTATGGCATTAAAATTCTGCAATATGTACTTATATAAACTATTCAAAAATACTTCAAATATTCTAGAGTTTAGAAATCAAGAAAAGTATAACAATATCAATGAATGAGATAATCTGTGTCACAGAGAACTGTTATCCGATCAGCCTTTTTAATGACTATATTATGATAACTGAATTATTATGGCTTTGGGAAAGCCAGCAAGTTTTTAAAGCAACAGACTGAAAGATTCCAGTTTATGATAACCTATCTCCTGCCAGATGAATCCTTTCAATGGATATGCAACCTTTTGAAAATCACAACTTTGAATTATGGTTTTAAAAATCAATCATTTTACTCTTTATACCTCCATATTTCACATTTTGCTACATCTGAGTGTACTGTCAAGGGTGAGGCATAACATGGTTTTCACATAAAACTGAAGTAAATCTGAGCTGAATATAAGAGACTAGAGGCCTGGTACACAAAATTCATATACTCCGTGGGGGGCCTTACGGCCAGGCCTGCGCCCTCTTATGGTCTGGGAGCCCTCTGATTGACAGCTTAGGCCTGCTCCAGGCCTAACGGTGTCTCTGAGGTGGGAGAGGTTCCCACCACCCGTGCTGTGCTCATCAGATCTGAGCTGACTTCTGGCTGAGCAGCGCTCCCTCTGTGGGAGGGCACTGACCACCAGGGGGTAGCTCCTGAGTTGAGTGTCTGCCCCCTGGTGGTCAGTGTGCATCATAGCAACTGGTCGTTCCACCACTCAGTCACTTTGCATATTACACTTTTATAATATAGGATAACAGATGCTATGGTCTATTATCTATTAGTTATTAGAACTTAATGCTTTAAAGTGTAGATGCCTTCATGCTAACAGAAAAAAATGCATTACCTTCAAATAAATTACAGCATCCGTACCCACTCCTTCCATAGAATACAGCTTTAGATCTCCTTGGAAATATCTAGCATACAGACGAGAAATTGGCAAGCCGTAACCAAATCCAGCCTACAGGGGGAAGAAAATGAATTCTGTGAGATAGGCATACATGCTATCTAGTTTGATATAAGGATCATTCAAGATTAAAAATAAATTCTTGATTCAGACTTGTAGAAAAAAAAATCCAATTGATTCAACCTCTGCAATGATGTATATGCTCATCTATGGCAAACAACCTATTTTTCCTCTTCAAAAACACTTCTTGTAGGTTTAGAAAATAATAGGAATACTGCAATTTTTGACTAATGCTTTCTTAGCACTTGAAAGCACATTTTTAAAGCAAATCCCAATCGAGTGGAATTTGAACTGGCAACAAAACGAAACCACATCATTTTAAAGTTTCATTATCAGATTCCCTGGCTCTCTGAAGCAAAAATATAAATAAATGGAAAGCACAGCAGTGCAAATCTACCAGCACCAAGGCTAACACATTGGGAAGAAAATTTCCTGAGTGACTGACTATTGCCTAAGGTTCTAGGAATACTACAAGATTTGGATATATGGTAGTGCATATACTAGTATTTTTAGAGACAAGAAAAGAATTCCAGTACCCGCCTATATCTCTATATTGTAGAGCCCTGACTGTTAGTATTAGGTTGCTGGGGCGAGAGTGGGGTGGTGGAAGGCCTCCAGTATTAATAATAAAAACAACTGAGACTGAAGTTGGCGTAGAGTGGAAGCTTCAGTCCCTCTGGTTAAATCCACTGCTACGGTTAACAAAGGAGCTGGTGGGGTCATGCATCTAGAGTGGCAGTTGCATGGGTTTTGGGCTCAGATACACTTACATTGAAACTCACTTTTTATGCAACTCTGAGCAATTTCCCCCCAATATGTTTTTATTGATTTCAGAGAAAAGGGGAGAGGAAGAGAGAGACAGAAACATCAATGATGAGAGAAAATCATTGCTCGGTTGCCTCCTGCACGCCCCCTACTGGGGATTGAGCCTGTAACCCAGGCATGTACTCTGACTGGGAATCGAACCGTGACCTCTTGGTTCATAGTTTGCTGCTCAATCACTGAGCCACACCAGCCAGGCAACTGAGCAATTCACTGCACCTCTGTGAGAATGTCTCCTCATCAGAAAATGTAATTGGAAAAAAAAAACTTAACTCGTAAGACATAATATAACTAAATGCATGGAAATTGCTATTATGGCTACTACAGAAGAGCGATTCTACCATGTTACATGAATTTCTACCATCTTCCCTAGATTTTTTTCCTCAGGGTAGGGCCCAACTCAGGAGTGTACCCCGTCATTCAAGGGCATTAAGACATGCAGAGTATGGCCAGTAGTGAAGACAAAACAGCCACAATAGTTACTGAGAACCCACAGGAAAAAAAAAAAGTGTATTCCAGGAAGAGGCCAGGAAATTAGCTTCATCATTCCTGCAAAGCACGGACCCTACTCTCAGGAGTGCCAGGGACCAGCCGACAATGCCTGGGGCCAACGCAGGCCTGATGTGGGGAGGCAGGCAAGCCCAGAGTCCTGGGGAACACAGAGGAGGGGCCTCTCACTCGGATTTGGTGAGGTGTAGCAAAGCTTTCCTAGGGTATCAAAAGATCAACAGGAGCCGAAACCAGTTTGGCTCAGTGGATAGAGCGTCAGCCTGCAGACTAAAAGGTCCCGGGTTCGATTCCGGTCAAGAGCATGTATCTTGGTTGCAGGCACGTTCCCCAGTGGGGGGGTGTGCAAGAGGTAGCTGATCGATGTTTCTCTCTCATTGATGTTTCTAACTCTCTATCCCTTTCTCTCTGTAAAAAATCAGTAAAATATATTTTAAAAAAGAAAAAAAGATCAACAGGAGCTGGCTAGGAGGGCATTTCTAAAAAACAAATGCATGTGTTACAGCACAGAGCTGTAACGCAGTAATGTGTTTGGTGAGGACATTACGTTCTCTAGTAGTACACACCCACATGCCCACTTAATTTTTTTCTAATATTTTGATTGATTTTTAGAGAGAGAGAGGAAAGTACAGGGAAGGAGGGAGGGGGAGAGAGAAAGAGAGACCGTCAATCAGCTGCCTCCTGTACGCCCCCTATCAGGGATCAAGCCTGCAGCCCAGGCATGTGCCCTGACCGAGAATTGAACCAGCAACCTTTCGGTGCCCGCCCAACTAAGCCACACCGGCCAGGGCCACACTTTAAAAGCTGAGGACAGTTTACTGACTGGGAGGGATGTTAATGGAAGAATCACAAGAAGAGGGTATATGATACACTGGAAAGAACACAGACATAGCCAGTGCTGTGATGAGCTCAGTAACCTTGGGCGAGGTACTAAGCTTATTCTCTCATCTATAAAATGGGATGGCGCACACTTTTTTTTTTAATCTCTTGCTTCAGGTGTTCAGTTTCATTAACAAATAACTATGGCATAACAGCTATCCCCAGGATGGTATTTGGAGACCAGGAATAGACAACTCGAATTCCTTCTAAGGAACTGGGGGAGGCTCTAAATTTGTTCGTAGTGGATGTTCCCCTCCACCCCACCCTGCGCCCCCCACCTTTTGACATTTATTTAAGTAGGTACCAGAGCCTGATCAAGGTAATGCCTTTCAAAACTGATTTTTCATGAATTTTCTTGAATCCAACGTAAGGGACTCCCTCTCTGTGTTCAACACGCTGAGTTAATAAACTCTGTCTTGAATAAACAATGCAAAATGTAAGATTTTTATTCATGCAAATAAAATATAATCTTACGTGCTTACCAGTCAGGTAGGACTTGAAAATGAAGCTTAATTTATACCCTGAACCATTTTGCAGACTGATAGATGTTGCTGTGTTTAATGACAAAGGGTTCAATTGTTGTTTGTCAATTAGAAACACTCAGCGGGGGAAGAAAGTGTGGCCCTACCAGGATCTCAGTGCTGCCATGGTAACCAGACTTTTCTCACTGCCTTAATAGGGCTGAAGGTTATTTCCAGAGTGAGACAGAAAGGGCTCTGAAAATGCATACACCACCTATATGTTTCCTGCGTGTGCTATTTCATATAAAAAATGCAGTGTGCCTAATTTTAACATTTTAATTACATAAACAAATTTGGTGGGGAAGTTCAAGGGCCCAGGGTGATTTGGCCTCTATGGTATGCAGGCGAAAGTGCCAGGACCACGCTACAGCCATGCATTCTGCACTCTTCTCCTTTGCTCACCCGCCACTGGACTTCCACCCCCTCCGAGGGTAGCTCCAGGTAGTAAATGGTGCTCCTGTAGCACTCGTAACCACAGGAAATGCCTTTCTCTGTATTTGGGAGTAAGGCACGGAGCTCTGAGTGTGTCTCCGACACAAATTAGAGAAGAAATCTAAGCCCAAAGGCTCCACAAAGGAAGTAGCAGTGGCATACAATTCTCCCGCCCCCTAGCCAGGCCCACACAGGGAGCATTCCAATTCAATGAGGCTTATGCCCAGCCGTGGCGAGTCCCTGCCCATATTAACGGTCTTTCCTCACGCAGCAGCTTGAAATGCTTACCAGAGGGGCAGCTCTTGAAGGCTCCAGGCTTGGTCTAGGAGCAGTGGAATACATGTAGTTAAAAAGACGATCTATCTTTCGAAGGGGAACGCCACCACCTAGGTCGCTGATCTGTAATGGAGGAGAAGGAAGAGGAGGAGGAGGTGGTGAAGGCTGGAAGGAGGAGTCATTCCGTACTTAACAGGAGGCAACAAGTTTATTAAATAAAGCCCTTATGAGATTACTCTCAAGTGTACAGGGCTTTGAACCCCCCAATGAAATATGAACGGTATAAAACAAAGGAGGTAAGAAGGTGCCATGGGATCCCACGGGCTTGGGTCTGAGACCCTGTTTAGCTCCCTGAAAAACGGGCTACTAATAAAGTTTAAACGAGGTAACTTAAGTCAAAGATCTAACGTGGTACTTTACAAATACGACATTCAGCAAACGTCAGTCTTCTTCCCTTCTCTCTGATTCCACAATGTCTAGATACTATGACATGCACTGACAATTGAAGTGTATGTGCAAGCAAAGCAGTTACCTTAATGGACAAGTCTTCTTTACCCAGAGTAACAAGGGTTTTAACCGCTGGGTAGGCCTCTTTTCTGTCTTCATAGAGTTCAACTGTGGCTCTCATGGAGTTCTGAAATAATAAGCCCTTTTCTTTACAACCCTCACAAATCACAATTTTAAAAGATCACATGAGCTTATTTATACACAATTTTTTTTGTGTGTGTGTGTGTGGGGGGGGGGGTATTGGTTGCATTTATATGACATTTTTCCCCTCTAAAGAAAGAACTTAGCTCAATGTGGGTTCAGATCAAGGAAACACTCCCTGATGCTTTGTTTTTCATCTAGTTTAAGTCCCATCTACCATACTGCACATTGATTCTCCCCCCTCCTTTTTTTCTGTTAATTCGCACCTGAGGATATTTTTCCATTGATATTTAGAAAGAGTGGAAGAGACAGAGAGAAACATCGATGTGAGAGATACACATCGACTGGTTGCCTCCTGCATGCGCCCCAACCAGGGCCGTGACAGTGCCTGCAACCCAGGTATGTGCCCTTGACCAAAATCGAACCCAGGACTCTTCAGTCCATAGGCCGACACTCTATCTGCTGAGCCAAACTGGCTAGGGCTTTCCTCCTTTTATTCTTTTTGCTTTAGGCTATTCAAGCCATTCAACTTTCAGCCAAGAGGAATGTTTTTATCACAGGTCACGAGACCACAGACTGAAATCTATTTATCAGCCTATGGTTTTTGGTGTGTGTGTGGGGGGGGGGGGGGAGTGAAGGGCTTCAGTTAAAAAGTTCTGTTGAGGAGAAAGTTCACAACTGAATGCCCACCTTTTAGTGTTGCGTTAGTAACAGCATCATTTTGGGAAGCAAATCATCATAAGTGATTTCCAGGTGTTCAATATAGAGTTTCATACATAGTGGATGAAATAAAACTTTAGTTCCAACGCCTTGTACCTGCAATTCTACTACCATAAATGCCATTAGCTACTGGTTAATAAAAGCAGCAGCTTAAGCCAGAGAGATTTTAAAGACTTTTTTTTTTGAGGGTTATGGTAGCTCTCAGGACTAGAACTACTGCTAATGCACCATCACAGTTAATGTTCAGAGGCGTAAATATGTGTAAAATTGTTTTTATTTTGATCTGTGTACCATCAATAAAACCTTGCCAGGTTTGGAAACTAAAGAGCATCTCTAATCTCCTAACTGAAGAAGAAACAGTATGGATTTTACATCAAATCACTAAAGTACAATTAAGCTTCAAAATCAATATATACTAATATTCACAAAGGCTACACTGTACACAGCAATTTTTCAGCTCACAGTGTACAAATTATAAAACCCACGGGGTATCAGAAATAGAATTTTTTAAATGGTATGCAAAACCTTTTTCTTATGCTAATGTAATGAATCCATTATGCCCTGAATCAAAGTAATTTAAAATGAAGACTTTTTCCCGTGTTGTTAAATTCCACTTACCTTGAACAACTCGAATAGCATGTGAAACAGATGTGAGGGCACATAAACTACCTGAATAGGTTTGCCAGGAGCTTTGGCTGAAAACAGAGACAAAAATCGCCAATGAATAAGGACCAAAACTAGAAGTAAAGAATGTTTGCATTCTATTTTCTGAGTACATAAAAAAGAACCCTACAAAAGGCTAATTTAGGTTTCCACTTCTAAAGGCAGGGCTGAGCAAATGCTTTTCAAGTCCAACAAATTATTTTGGGGAGGGAGGGGGGAGGTATCCAGTTCCTTTACTTACCAGCTTCGTGACCCTGGGCAAATTATTCAATTGCTTTGGAGCTTAAGTGAGTAATATTGGAATATTACCACCTACATCATAATGTCCTATGCATTACAATAAGGCCATCCAAATATGACTGTGTTTTGTTTTTTTCTTTTTGAAAAATGTTTTTATTGATTGCAGAGAGAGGAAGGGAGGGAGAGAGAAACATCAATGATGAGTGAGAATCATTCATAGGCTGCCTCCTGCATGCCCCCTACTGAGAATCGAGCCTGAAACCCGGGCCTGTGTCGAGACTGGGAATTCAACAGGCGACCTGTCAGTGCACGGGAGGATGCTCAACCAACCGAGCCACACCGGCCAGGGCTCATTCAGTGCTTTACAAATTGGGAGACACCTACCCCTACCATTGACCCCAGTGGTCAGCAGGGGGAATGTGGAGCCACAGAGGAAAAGGGGCACATCTTTTTGGTGAATTGGACTAAAGAGCAATGTTAAATGATGACATACAAGGCATATTATGGAGTAGAATGTAAGGTTCACATGACTTTATTCTACTAGGAGCTAACAGACAACCCCCTCGGGACCTCCAGTCCTTTCTCCCTGCGTCAGCGATTTTCTGGGGAAATCGAAGAAATACCTAATTCCATGTCAAGCACGAAGCACAGTGTGAGCTATAGAGTAGATGCTAGAAAATGCAGTCCTCATGACCCGAAATCGCTTTAGAGACTGAAACTATGTGAACTTTCTTAAGTAGACCACAGACCTACCCATCCATGTTATAATTTCAACCTAACGACTTCCTCTAATAAAGTATATAGTTAACAGTATAAAGTAGAGAGAACAGCCAAAACCAGTTTGGCTCAGTGGTAGAGTGTCGGTCTGCGGACTGAAGGGTCCCGGTTCGATTCCGGTCAAGGGCATGTACATTGGTTGCGGGCACATCCCGGTGGGGGATGTGCAAGAGGCAGCTGGTTGATGTTTCTCTCTCATCGATGTTTCTAGCTCTCTGTCCCTCTCTCCTCCTCTCTGTAAAAAATCAATAAAATATATTTAAATAAATAAATAAAATATCGATAGAGAGAACATTCATTTGGTTCTTGGTTTATGAAGAGCTTGAACATACATTATCCAACTGAATCCTTGTGATAATACTGTGTGGCTCATAAGGTGGGTGGCATTATTATGGGTGAAGACATTGGCTTTGCAGAGACAACGTGACTTGCTCATTATAACAGAAGAGGCGCTAAAATTGGACAGCTGGAGAAAGAGCTTTTGTGATTCTAAATCCTCAACTCTTTGATAAACAGTTATTTTTTAAAAATTATTAAGTTAATATATGCAAATGATTTTAAAATTTGTTAAAAAAAAAAAACATGTCCCTTCACCCTTTTCTATCTAACACCCCCCCCCACCCCCAGCCTGCACCCAGAGGCAGCCACTCGTTAGTATTTTTGCTTAGTCTTCTGGTTAATAATATTTACATTCTATTTTGTGACCCCAATGAACTCCTCTGTACTTTGCCTATAGATTCTATACCGATCATAATTAAAAATAAAATTTTAAATCAAAACAGATTTCTAAGAGAGAAAAAAAACAGTTGTAATAGGAGATTCAAGAAGAAAAGAGAAATGGTAGCTGGGCACTTAGAGATGATTAATCAATTCCCAAAATCAATGCATAAGGCTTTTAGAGACAATATATAGTACAGTTCAGTCACACTGTGGCCAAGTTCTGACTTAGGAATTTAACAGATACATTAATAGGTACTTCACCCATCTGGGATTGGCATCCCATTTCTGAAATGGCGCAGAACTTATCTCACTGGGTTAATATAAGGATGAAATGAGATCATAGTGATAAACAAATTTACATAGAGCCTACCACATTGTAAGCTGCCTATTCACATTACTAAAAATTAATTTCTACAGTATTAATGGACCTATCAGAAATGGCTTTTTGCCTGCTGCATAGAACCATTTGCCTGAAAATATCCATAGAAGTACCCAATAATGAGAAACTAGAGGTCAACTATCCCAGGGTAGATATATACCCTTTTGATGAGTTAAAATTTTTGTTATCACCAAGACTAAAGCTACCAATCAACCTCCTGAGAGGAAAGACTAATCTAGAAATAAAAAATTCAAGTCATAACCATACAAGTCTTATCTTTCCAAAGTCAATCCTGAATTCCAGTAGCTATCCTTTTAAAAATATCCAGTATGCCTGACAGGTATTGCTCAGTGGTTAGTGTCAACCTATGAACCAGGAGGTCATGGGTTGTGGGCTCGATCCCCAGCATGGGGAATGCAGGAGCAGCGGATCAATTATTCTTTCTCGTTGTTCTTTCTCTCTCTCTTCCTCTCTGAAATCAATAAAAATATATTCTAAAGAATAATAAAAATAAAATATCCAGTATGTGCTATATTGGAGGTCCCAGTAACATCCTTTCAGTAGAGGCTGGGTGCACAAGATTCGTGCATTTGGGGGACGAGGGAGTCCCCTCAGCCCAGCCTGTGCCCTCTTGCAGTCTGAGAGCCCTTGGGGAGTATCCAACCGACAGCCTTAGTGCTGCCGCAGAGGCGGGAGAGGTTCCCGCTCCCCAGCAACGAGCCTGGCTCTGGCTGAGCATCTGCCTCCTGGTGGTCAGTGCGCATCATAGCGACTGGTCGTTCACCATTAAACCGAGTGGCATATTAGCCTTTTATTATATAGGATTGCCTCACAGGGTGAGCTTATAGATGAGGAAGCCAAGTGTCAGACAGGAAGTGACTTATCTACGGCTCACATCTAAATGTTTGAATCCAGATTTCTACTGCCTGGTTAAGCTACAAAGTTCTCATCTCTCCCCTAAGCCCTGCTGCCTTACCATATAGATGCTGAAAAGGTCAATTAGAAATGTTTGCTTAATGTTTTGGCAACTGATTTCTCAAGAGAAATGAGGACAAGTGTGATGAAATAGCTACTTGTCATTGGAGGAACCCACACAGCCAGTCATAAATATCTGAGGTAAATAAGGCCGTTAAATGTGTTACAGAAAGGACAATACAGGAAGTTTACTATAACTGGCCCCCAATATTCCAAATTCCAGTGAGGACTGGCAAATACTGTGGTGTTCACACAGTATGTGTCCTACATACTCCTATTTACCACTTTCTCATGGATCTACATTGGAAAAGAAAAAAACATTCAGGGGGGAAAAAAAGTGGTGTGTCAAACTAGCCACACTCATTCTCAGGTAGCACGGACTGCTCTTTTGGGTTAATGGCAACCTTACTCGTCTGAAATGCAGAGCGAGGGCAGCAAGCATGTCGCCGACTATTGTTAAAAGCACCTGTTGGGCTATGGGAGCATCCTGAAGGCAATGCTCTGCTAGTTCACACAGGCTCTGAAAATAAATCCGTAAGTATCTGGATCTGATCTGACCGCTCCCCGAAAGCAGACGGCTATCACGCTGTGGGAGACATGCGCAGTCTCATTCTGCAGCGTCAGTGTCTACTTACAGTGCTCAGGGCCAACTTGCAACCTGCAACTCTACCACATAACTTATTAGAGACAAAGCAGAGTCTTTCACTGTGCTCGCAAAGAGCTTTGACATTTTGAGAAATCATAAATATAAATCATAAATACATTACCTGAAAGCACTAGGAAACTAGAGGCTGCCTCTAACAGCAGCATTTTTTTATCTTAGTGGTGGGGGGAAAGGAGCTTAAAAAGTCATGCATGAGACAATGACAAAAGGAGTCATACAGCTCTGCTCCTGGCGGGGTGTGCTGTCCAGCATGGCCACCTCGCTGGGAAGGAGTGGCTGACACAGCTGCACCTGGGAATCAGCAAGAACAGGCTCACTGCTCCGGCCTTCAGCGAGTGAGGCTGCTATCCATGCCAAAGAGCAGCTGGTTACTATCTGTGAACGTAAGTTCCATGTCTGACAGAAAGCTGGACAGCGAGGCCAAGCCCCGCCTAGCCAGGAGGAAGAGACAGAGAGAATATTCTGATGCTTCTACTCAGGAATACTCCAGCCGAGTCCATTCGGTTCCCTTAGTGTATTGATTCAAAACATGGACACAAACTCAGAGGACCCAACGGACTTGGAAAGCAGCTTTGATTCCATACTTTCTAGTAAAATGTAGGGGCCAATGTGTTACAACAGCAGCCTGAAGTCTTTTCACATTTTGATCTCATTATACGTATTTTTTAAATTTACTATCTAAAGTTTTACATGTGTCTCCTTTTTTCCCAATTGACACCCCCCCCATTCCCACTTCAGGCAAGCTCCCACCGCCCCAGTGTCTGTGTCCATTGGTTATGCTAATAGGCATGCATACAAGTCCTCTGTTTATCTCTAACCACCCCCTGCCATTTGTCTCTGGATCTATTTTTGTTCATCAAATTATGTTGATCATTATATCCCACATAGGAGTGAGAGATCATGTGATAAGTGAAATACAGTTCTGATATATTTTAAGAGGGAATTTGGTTTATCTGTCCTAAAATATATTTTTATTGATTTCAGAGAGGAAGGGAGAGGGAGAAAAGTAGAAACATTAATGATGAGAGAGAATCATTGATCAGCTGCCTCCTGCACATCCCACACTGGGGATGGAGCCCTCAACCCGGGCATGTGCCCTCACTAGGAATTGAACCGTGACCTCCTGGCTCATAAGTCAACGCTCAATCACTAAGCCATGCCATACAGGCTTAACTTTAAATTGTAAATACCTATACCCTAGGACTCAGTCATTCCACTCCTAGGAATCTAATGTACAGAAATACGTCCACACATTCACAAATTTTCCCAACCCTCCAAACACAGGCACGTAGACACGCATACACGCATACACATACACACACACACACACACACACACACACACACACCTTCACTGGGAAATCACTAAATAAATTCTAAATTATAGCAATCTACACTATGGATAATCTCTAAATGACAACACAGGCAAAGATCTTCAAAGCAAAGTGAAAAACACATCATAGAATGTGAATAATTCCAACCCCATTTATGTAAAAAATAAAGCTCTGTTCGGGGCTGAGAGAACAGTGGAGACTCACTTTTACTCTATATGCCTGTATTGTTTGTATTTTTACAGTGAGTATGTCTTTTTTTGGTAACTTACAAATTAAAAAAAATTAACATGGAAATATAGACTCATATGATTAATATGAAAGTCAGCTATAATCCTATTCTCCACACAGCTGTTGTTTCTCCCTAGGTGCTAGAAATATTTCAAAATATTTTCCAGTGAACTTGCACTATTACAAACTTTTATGGCATGTGTTTAAAAGATTCTTTTAAAGCATTAAAGGGCTGCATAGTATTCTATCTTATGAGTGAACCACAATTTATATCCTCTGTTGTAGAAAACTTGGATCCTCTCATTTTTCTCTATAAGGAAACCACTGTGATCACCATTCTTATACATACGACTGTGCATATCTATATTTTCTTATAATACACTTTCTGAGTTTAATTCACTGGGACAAAGATATGACTATTATCAATTTAATTTACTGGGTTAAAGAGAAAGAATATTGGTAGCATTTTTTGAGAAAGGCTGGACCAATTTAACCTTATACCAGAAATGTATGAGTGTTGGTAAGAAAGTCTTTTTCTGGGCAACAATTCAAGGCAATAAAATGTTTCAATCATTGCATTTTGAAAGATAAAAATGGCATTTCTCTTTGTTTGTACTTCTTTCTTTAATAAAGTTAAACATTTTCTCATAGGTTTATTGTTTGCATTTGCTATTTTGAGAATTGCCTATTTATACCTTTGTGCGTTTTCTACTGGATTACTTCTGTGCCACGAACTTTGAGTTCTAATAGATTACACATTCCTGTACAAAAACTCCTTACAACAATATACCTAGTTGACCACAGATATAGAAAAGGTTTTAAAAATATAGAAAAGATTTTTCAAATCAGCAAAACTTTAGGATCTCGCTTAAATATAGCTCAGGTGTAATCAGATTTGGGTCAACTTCTTTGTACTCAAGTTTAAAATTATTTTCTTTTACCATTGAATTCTTCAATTTCCAACTCAGGAGCCACCATGTAATACTGTTCACATAACATCTTGGCAGTTTCATACGCATCTGCAAAGAAAGAAAAAAAGTTTAGCTGCTGCACTAATAACACAGGCACAAGTAGACAGACAGATAGACAGACATAATAGATCAGCAAACAAGAACAATTTCTAACTTGTTGGATTTTTAATTAACTACTTCCTTTTGAAAAACATAGCCTTTTTGGCTTGCCCAGCTGGTGTAGCTCAGTGGTTGAGCATTGACCTATGAACCACGTGGTCACAGTTTGATTCCTGGTCAGGGCACATGCCTGGATTACGAGGGCTTGGTCCCGGGTGGGGGCCATGTGGGAGGCAGCCAATCTATGATCCTCTCCCATCATTGATGTTTCTGTCTCTCCCTCTACCTTCTGCTCTGAAATCAATAAAAAAAATTTTTCAAGCCCTATAGAATTTAAATATGTTAAAACTTGACATATCAACCTAAAATAATACAAAGATAAGATTAGGTGTGTTCAGACTGTAAGTTTTGGTCCCTTGACCTCATATTGCTAGCAAATTAAAATTGTATATAATATTTGACCTCAGAATAAAAATTCTGATTACTTTATTCAACTTTTAGAATTAAACCATTAAAAGAACCACAGGCAGAGACATTAGAATAACTGACAAAATGAAATAATGAGGAAATGTTAGTAAGAGGAGAGGAAAAAAAAGAGTTGATCATTGTGAAAACAGACATTAAGGTAGGACTTAATTGAAACCCTAAAAAGTTAAAATATAGAATTACATTAAATTTGCAGGGGGTTTTTCGTAGGCTATAATAAACCTCACTAAACATCTGTAAAATACTTTTGTAAAAAAGAAATCAAGATGCACTCTTTCTGCTTTGGCTATAGCACCAAACAATGCTACATCTCCACCTAGTGACACAATAGCACTAAGCCAACCAACAATCTCCAGGGCTACATTCTTTAAACCAACAAATCCTAAAATCTAAAAATGATGCTCTGCTTCATACACAAAGCCAATACACCTCCTCAAAACAATGCCTCCAAGTACATAACACCTTTAAAGGTGTCTTGACATTTTTCTTCCATTCAGCATAGAAGGAAATGTACCCGCTAACTGTGGTATTTCCTCATGGCATTTGCTTGCCCAGTGGCATGAGATTATAATGATATTATTAAGAAAAGGTATTACGTAAATGCAACATGCAGAAGAGATGGTAGAACCCAGATAGAAGCTGCCAACTTGGGACCCAAAGACCCAGTGTGTTTCCTAAAACCACATGGGAATAGGAATTTTTAAAACATGACAAATTATGGTGTATCGGTGCTATAATTAAAAATCACATAATGATGCTTGAAAAACTCAAAACACCACAATAAGACTCACGTACACCAGTCAGTCAAGTATTTGGGGGATAGTAATAGTAAATTCTACATTCATATACATCTTTATAAATTCCCATAGTACGTCATAATGCCTTGGACACAATACACAGCTAGCAAGAATTTGATAAATGGAATAATCTTCTTGCCCGTGAGAAAGTTCTCAAGGTGAAATCAATTATACTGATGAGAGATGCTCTTTTTCTTAAAATCTTTACACGAGGATATGTTTTTTAAAAAACTGATTTTTAGAGAGAGAGAGGAAGGAAGGAGAGAGGGAGGGAAGGAGAGAGAAGAGAAGGGAGGCTAGAGAAGAGAAACATAGATCAGTTGTCTCCCATATACACCAGACCAGAGATCAAACCCACAACCAAGGTATGTGCCCTAATCGAAATCAAACCTGCAACCTTTTGGTGCATAGAATGATGCTCCAAGCAGCTGAGCCACCAGGCCAGGGCGAGAAATATTCTTTTTTGTGAGACTGGGAACTGGAGACCTTGCGTAGTTCCCAAACCTCATTGTATGTGGAATTCACTACAAAGTTGTATGTGTGTTTTTTAAATAATTTAATTTTTTAATATGTTTTATTGATTTTTTTACAGAGAGGAAGAGAGAGGGATAGAGACTTAGAAACATCGATGAGAGAGAATCATTGATCAACTGCCTCTTGCACAGCCCCCACTGGGGATGTGTCCGCAACCAAGGTACATGCCCTTGACCGGAATCGAACCTGGGACCTTTCAGTCCCCAGGCTGACGTTCTATCCACTGAGCTGAACCGGTTTCGGCAAGTTGTTGTTTTTTTTAATGCAGATTATAAAATAAGCCCCTAGAGATTCTGATGCAGTAGGTCTGTGTTGAGGCCTGGAAATCTATATTTTAAAAATCTTAGCAAGTAATTCTGAAGAGAAGCTAGATTTGGGGACCACTTGCCAGGAAAGCCAAGACTAGGCCATGTTAACTCAGTCACTATCTCTCCCAGGACATGAATGATCATGGGGTATTGGGTTGTATACAACACACATGTACTCAACTTCTATTTCACTTCTATTTAAGTGAACTAACATAAAAATGTCAAAACTTTAAAACATCACCAAATAACCAAAATTCAACTACTGGCTTATAATTTCATGTCTTTCACTTTGGGGTAGAAGGCAAATTCTACTTATAACAAGCTTTCAAATAAGACTTTTCTAATTTTAATCAGAAACCAAAATTTTAAATATGATAATTTACCAAATTACTTTTTTTTTTATCTGCAATACATCTGAGCAAGTAATTACAACCAATCTTTAAAAAAAATTTTTTTAATTGATTTCAGAGAGGAAGGGAGAGGGAGAACGATCTAGAAACATCAATGAGGGAGAATCATTGATCGGCCGCCTCCTGCATGCCCCCTACTGAGGACTGAGCCTGAAACCCAGGCACGTGCCCTGACTGGGAATCAAACCTGTGACTCCAGGTTCATAGGTCAATGCTCAACCACTGAGTCACAACGGCTGGGCTCCAAACAATCTTTAAAAGGAAATTATTACTGCCACTAGACATAAATGTTATTCATTGTTCTAAGGATGAGTTGTCAAGGACAATAAGATAATGATCATAAAGTAACTAACAAAACTGTGGGTGTGACACATATATACTTCCCCCAGGCTAGAACACTCAACCTGTAAACACACAAGACTGATTATTTATTTAAAAGGCCAAGTCATAAAGAGTAGGATGCAGGTTCACCGAGCAACTAGCTGAACAGATCCAACCTAGCCAGGAATTGAAGAAAAAGCAAACAGGAAAATTTAACACATTATGGAGGTTATTAATTTTGGTTAATCCTCACTGATGATATTTTTCCATTGGTTTTTAGAGAGAGTGGAATGAAGGGGGAGAGACAGAGAGAGAAACATCGATGTGAGAGATACACATCGATTGAATGCCTCCAGCACACACTTGCAGGGCCTGGGATGAGCCTGCAACTGAGGTACATGCCCTTGACCATGCCCTTCAGTCCATGGGCTGACACTTTACCCACTGAGCCAAACCGGCTAGGGCTATTTTATTAAATTTTTATGAGAAGATTTACCTATTCAAACTTCACCATAGAACTCTGCTGTCAAATATTGGCCTCTGTTGTGAATGCATATAATCATCTGTTTATAAATATCTTAGAAGAGGGGGGGCAGGGATGAATTTGAGTGAGTGCTGAAAAAACAAATGAAGGTGCCAAGGTCCTTAATAGGTTTAAATAGGATACAGAAAACCGTGAGGCTCAAGTTTAAGAAGCCAGTGCCAGAACAAAGTGGTGTCCATGGCCACAAAGCATTGCAAAGTCACAGATGTGCTGCTCTTTAGAAACCCTTGTGAGTTACAAATAAAGTTATGTCTATCGTCGTCCTTCCACCCAAAATGCATTCCTGAGTGAGAACCACCAGATATTTGTTAAGTACCAGACCCTTTCTCATCCTTCAAACCACAGTCGACTGGAGATGTGGGGGCAGAGCTTCTAACGAAAGGGCAACCAATCTACAGGCTGAGCCAGTGAACTTCATCTTTTGAGAATTTCAGATCAAGACTCAGGCAGGGCAGAAGACACAAAGGGAACTCAGAGTTATCATCAAGAAGGCCTGCGTTGGCCATTGCCCTAAACAAGTCTGCCAGTCTACAAACAAGAGAGAGGCAGAGGCGCTAGGACTTGGCAACCCCAGTTACAAAGATACACAGAAAGCAGCCTTGTTTTGTTTCCCAGTTCCAATGTCTACAGCTCCGACTGTGAAGTGCCTCCTGCCCTTAGATTTTCACGGGACCTACTAGGTCCTTTTAATAAATCTGTTTCTTGAACTAGTGTGAGTGGGTCTCTGTTATTTGCAAACTGAAGAGCCCCACATTATTTCCGACCCAAAAGAATGACACACTTTCAGGATGCCATTGGTATGCCATTATGCTAAGTTCACCGGCATATAGGAACAACACAGGCAAGCTAACATCGCTGCGAGAGGTGACTTTTGTACCAAGTATTTAAGTTTGTACCTTTAAAATTATCTTCCCACAAGATTTTCCATTTTCTTTCCTGGTTTCTCACAAAGAAAAGAGGAAAGGGTCACAATGGAAGGAACCTCCCAGAAACTGCTTTACAATACTAATTCTAGCATTCACTACCTCGAGTCTATAATTTGCAGATGTGTAAAGGTAGATATTAATGTGCTAAATCAGCGACAAGGAGGCATGCTTCAGCATTCCGCACATTCAATTAATGTATGTGATGCGCCCCACTTTTATACATTTATACAACTGGCTAGTCAAAAATAAAAATATTGGCCCTACCCTTCTACATAAAGTTTTCTCTAGTCTGTCTCAAGAGATCTAAGCATGGAATCATTATTAATTCATTAAGGCTTCCTATAAAACACACATGCATGCATAGGCAAACACGTGTGTGTGTGTGTGTGTGTGTGTGTGTGTGTGTGTGTGTGTGTCTGGTACAGACACACACACACACACACACACACACACACACACACATATCATCTGGGCTGGACATATGACTGGCCTAAATCAGGATCTTTCTGGTTGAGAAAATCAATGGTAGAGCTGTCATTAAAACCCAGAAATCCAAATCCCTCTACACAAAGCTTCCTAAAACAAAAGGAAGGGAAACAATATTAGAGATAGAGATGCCAAAT